TATAACATTAGTTACTCACCCGGAAATAACCGGAATTTTCCAGTTAAAATTACCAACTTTCCCGGAAATCGTACGTAAATTTCCGCAACCATTTTCTCACATTGCAACGCAACCCACGCGCTCTGGAAAATTCTCCAAAACACATGTAAACCAAAATTGGTCACTAACAACCAAGATTAACGCTGTGTCAAGATATACAATGATTTATAATTAATTTAATGAGTTATAATTTGTATTAATTAAGCGTCGCACGTACAAGATTGTCGAGAGGTGATTCTCTCATTATTATATTACTCTATTGTATTGTCTAACCTTAATTACTTGACAATTAGCTGAAAAAAACGTTGAACAAACTACCCGATGTTGGCTGATTTTTATAATTAGATATGTGAGGCAGGCTGTTATTAAAACTAGCGGTGGCACGTGGTTTCGGCTGGGTTAGTTTTGGTCTTTCGCAGAAAGTTATCTATACTAATATTATAAATGCGAAGGTAACTCTGTTTTGCTTTCACGCCTAAACCACTGGACCGATTTTGATGAAATTTGCCATAGAGATAGTTTGAGTCCCGGGAAAGGACATAGGATAGTTTTTATCCCGGTATTTGAAACAGGGACGCGCGCGATAAAGTTTTTCTGTGACAGATAAAATTATTCGCGGGCGAAGCCGCGGGCGGAAAACTAGTTATATAGCATATAATACTCTACGCTGCTTACAATACTTTGTTTTGTCACCTGTCATCCGCTTTGCACTGGACCGCCGAACCTTATAACTTCGAACTCCTCCTATGTTCTTCTGATTAATTTCGTTGCGGGTCCATTGACAGTTTATCTTTCCCCCGGGACTAACTTGACCTTCACTGGTTGGGTTTTTATTGGCGGTCAAGCTGTAGATCCTGGCTACACAGGAGTTGCAGCGGTGGGAACGAGAGGTTGGAATAGTCCCGTATACGGTGGCCTCCACTCCAGAACCTTGTTGCCCCATCGGCCGTTAGTTCTGCGTACTATGTGCCCTGCCCATTGCCACTTTAAGCTAGCTAATACTGTTAAGTTTATACAATACTGTTAAGTTCTGTAATTTGCTGTTTTAAATGTGCCAATACGAGTAAATGTATTTTCTTTCTTTCTTTCTAATCCGTCGGGGTATGTCAGCGACTTTAGTTCGTTTACGGATCTCCTCATTTCTGATTCTATCCCGTAAAGGAACACATAGCCCTTCTACATAGACCCAAGGATTTCCAGAACTTGCCAAAGTGTAAACATAACAAAGCATTTCCACCGTCTGCAATGGTGTGTCAATACCTCTTAAACAATAAAATGGAATGCTTTTTATCAAGAGTTTTTCACCCGGCTTTCACCCCATCGAATTCAGTTCGCCCCTAGCAAGACTAATGACTCGGAACGTATTCTGTTATCTGCCCGCGCCAACGTGTGGCGCAGGGCCGGATTAAGGGGTCCTGGGGCCCACTGGGGGCCAAAAAACCACGTAACGCACTGTAAGGGGCATGTAAACATGGGAAGGTAACTGTTTACTACGCCATCTTGATTAGCTTCTATAAAATGTTGTAAAGCCTTATTTTTTCAACACGGTTCCATACCCAAAGGGAGCGAGACCCTAGAGTTATTTTGCTGTTTGTCTTTTTAAAGCAAGTTCACTGTTTTTTAATTTGCAAGTTCGTTCGTTCATTTCAGCCAAATGACGTCCACGACAAAGGCCTTCCCTAAGGATTTACACAATGACCAGTCTTGCGCTGCCCGCATCCAGTTTCCTACTTCTCGCGACCTTCAGCAGATCATCGGTCCATCTAGTCATTTCACTTTTTGGAGTCGTAGGTTGACCTGTCTTTTTAATTTCGGTTTGGTTTGAAAAAGAGGCTGACAATAGTGTCTGAGTTTCTTGCGCTGCTTCTTCTCAGCGCTGGCCCATTTATTGTCCTGAAGCAGTGGTAGGATTAATACTGGGACATGTAAAAGTGCTTTTTTAAAGCCTACTTACAGAAATAAATGAGTTTTATGAGTTTTAAACCTATGTTGACCGGTCATTCCACAACCGAGCCCTGGCGCCTCTAGATGCGCCCCTGGCGTGTGTTGACTGGAATGAATTGCCGTAAGGGCGTCTTTTGATTAAAGCGCACTCGATAAGCGTGATTGGGGTGAAAACATATGTTTGACTTGTCCTGGAGATAAGTTAAATTGATTCGGTGGTGTACTTGCTGTAATGGTTCTGTTTGTTACGTCAGCTAAAACCGCAATAGAATAAGAAAGTCTTAAGTATATTATTTTATATACCCTACTAATACACTGGACCGCAAAGAAAAAGGATCGGTTAGAAAATCTTCTGTAACTTCAATAGTATCTAACTAACTTAGCTTTATGAACCAGACATACTCGTACTGGGACAAACAAACTTCGCATTATTATTTATAATATTAAAAAGCATGAATTATTTAGTGTTTATTTCATAAAGCTAAGTCAGTGAAGATATTGAAGATTTTCCAACCGCCCCTTTTTCTTTACGGTTCACTGTAATGTGAAAGAAACCAATTTGTTAGTAGAAAAAATACTAATATTCCTGAATTCCTGTCAACCCCTCAAGCTAAATAGGCACTTGTGCCATTGTATAAATGTGGTGACTGAGTTTGTTGCGGCGCTTCTCCTCAGCACTTGCCAAATTTTGGTCGCGAATCACTGGTATGGCCAAAAGATTATGAAACATAAATTCTAAAGGCTCCTTAAGAACAAAACTTTTAAAGTATTTTTTTAAATTGCCAGTCCAAAAGAAACATCTTTACGCTATTGTTATAATTTAGGTATGTCTGAAACAAAAGTTAGGTAGGCTAAAACCCTCTCTTAGATCCCATCTATGTATCAAAATGTGTTCAGCAGTTTCTGAATAAAAACGTAACAGATAGAGTTGCCTTCTCATACTTATGTAGGTATAATGAATGATTTAGGCCTAGTTTAGTTTTAATTGTAACGTACTCCACATCACGTACCTACGATTCATGATTATTTTAATCATCAAAAAAAGTTGCAAAAACTGTATCCCATAATCGTTGGCATAATTATTGCTAAACGCATCGATTAGGCTCAGTATCGCTCGCACATGCGTGCGTGAGCGAGAGGCGCTGACGTCACGGCGTGCGTCTCGCTCGCTCGCGTGTTGGTTTTGTTGCGCGTGAACCGAGCCCACCCAGATGCGGGCTAGGGGTGGCAAAAGTTTATGATGTTAAAGAAAATCCATATTTTTTAAAAGAATATAAAAATGCGGAACTATTCCCATTTTACTTAATCCTACCAGCAACACTGTGTAACCAGGATCTAAAGCTTGTCCTTAAAAGAGTAGTAGTTTGGTTGGTGGTAGGGCTTGTTCTAAGGCTACCACCATCTTACCTAATTCTGTCGCCATAACAACAATGTTAACAGTATTGTTGTGTTCCGGCAGTTAGAGGTAAGATAGCCAGTTTCTCCGTGGTTGAGGATTCCGGGTGAAGCTCGCTTCCACCTTTGGCCTGATCATCACTTACCATCAGGTGAGATACAGGCCAAGAGCTTCCTCGTTGAGGATTAAAAAAAATAGAGGAGGCGACACTATGATCGCCTCCAGTTTCCTCTCCTCGGTGATGGCCAGCAGGCCGGGGCATTGGGGCGCCCCACGGCTTTGCACTGGCCACCATCATCGTCGGAACAGCTGTGTGCTTGGGGGGCCCCTCCTGGGGGGCTTGTAGGTGGTCAATCTGTGGCTGAGGCTGTGGTAGAGAAGGTTTTGTCCGGTCCTCTATCCCACAGTGGCAATGAGGGCTTATAAGTATTTAATAGCGAATTAGCGCCCTCACCAATGAATTGACGCCACTGTAGTTGTTGAATATGACTGTCAATCGCTAGCTGTTAAGACAATCCTAGTATAAATGTAAAATCACCTTCTTTGCAATAACAAATACGGTAGTTCATATACTTTTTTAATGAGCTGTCAAAAAACGCGACTCTCCTGTAGCTTTGGTACGCCAAAAATTATGGTTCGACAACAATGAAGTGTCCCAGATATAACAGTGAGTTGAGTGTGAGTTTACAACAAACGCGCTCGTGAGCGCATTTAAAAAATCTATGAAAATTTTAGTTTTTGAACTTTTCCCGCTAGGGGCGCTGTACAATCCGTCATACATTTAATGTCATTTGTTGACGCGCTCACTAGTGAGCGCGGTTGATCTAAACTCATACTAGGCCCTTTGGGAAATTCCGATTTTTGCCACTTGACGTTTCAGTATTGTTTGCCTGTATTTTCAGGACTAAATTAAAGATTTTTCTAAAGAAGTCGCATATTAGCTCGACAGCTTTATATAATATAGTAGAATGCTCAATTTAGTCCCTGTGTCAGCCCTGAGATGAAGTATGGATCCGGTCTTGGAATGAATTTGTCAAAACACGTCACTTTGCGTCGGTGCGCGCGCGCCGACCGCGGCAATGGCTGGACGGCGGAATGTAAACAGAATTAGGATTGTCAGCATTCTTTAAGGCAGATTTTTAATTCATAATAATCGCAAACTATCAATCTTCCCTTTATTTTAAACTAGTTTTCTGCCCGCGGCTTCGCCCGCGTGGAATTTTTTCTGTCACAGAAAAACTCTATCGCGCGCGTCCCTGTTTCAAATACCGGGATAAAAACTATCCTATGTCCTTTCCCGGGACTCAAACTATCTCTATGCCAAATTTCATCAAAATCGGTTCAGTGGTGGCGTGAAAGCGAGACAGACAGACAGACTGAGTTACTTTCGTGTTTATAATATTAGTATAGAAGTATAGATTTGTGACGCGCCCCGCGACGCATCGACAGCCCTAGCACAGTGCACGGAGATTTTGACAACCCTNATTATTAATGTCACTTGAGGAAGAATAGACGGTTACGTTTCTGAAACTGGTTTTTATTGATACGACGAAATTAGAATAGTTAGTACGATTAACAATAATAAAATCATTTATTTGCAAGAACATGGTTAGATTGGTGTTAATTTAGTTAATTCCAGCATATTCTGTCGCATGCGACGTGCAAAAGTTTTTATTCTTAAAGTTATGTTAATTGTTATTGCTACATTTGGTTGTCGTGTTGTAGCTCAATACTAAAGACCTTATGCTGATGATGATAAGAGTCACGCTCACCCGTTCGTGCCTCGCCAGGTTCCCTTTAAGAGCAAACGCACGTCCGCAGTGTTTACAGGCGTGGGTCGCGCGTGGGCCGTGCGCGACTACATGTCGTGCCAGCGCGTACTTGTCATGGAACACGTCGTACAGTCGAATGTGGGCTGCCGTGATGTAGCTCGAGACTAGACCTTATGCTGATGATGATAAGAGTCACGCTCACCCGTTCGTGCCTGGCCAGGTTCCCTTTAAGAGCAAACGCACGTCCGCAGTGTTTACAGGCGTGGGTCGCGCGTGGGCCGTGCGCGACTGCGTGTCGTGCCAGTGCGTACTTGTCATGGAATACGCGGGAACACGTCTCACAGCCGAATGTCGGGCTGCCGTGACGTAGCTCGTGGATGCGGAGCTTGGTGGAATTCTGTAGAGTAGAGTTTAACCAATTAGGGAAATGACAAAGTTTGCTTTAACAATAAATTCGTTTCTCTCCCTCGTTCATGGATACTGAGAGAGAAAATATATCATGTGAGGACACAACGATTGAGAAGAAATGAACAACAATGTTAACAGCATTGTTGTGTTTCGACAGTTAGAGGTAAGATAGCCAGTTCCTCCGTGGTTGAGGATTCCGGGTGAAGCTCGCTTCCACCTTCGGTCTGATCGTCACTTACCATCAGGTGATATACAGACCAAGAGCTTCCGCGTTGTGGATAAAAAAAAAATACTTTGGGGTTAAGAAGGTATTAGCGTTAACAGGTTATTTGCTAGTCTCTTGCTAGTCCAGGGATCGAACAAGCGTTCATCAAATCGACAATCCGATACAGACACCATTTATTGCGCTATTGTATTTGTCACCTGAACAAACGAAATGAGGGCTATCGTTTTAGCGCTCACCAGTTAGCGCTACTATAGAGTAAGGTCCTGTCACTTGCTAGTAGCGAAGACAGTGGCACCAACTGGTGAGCGCTAAAGTGGTAGGAGGACTATCGCATTTGCACTCATCAAGATGGCGCCACTGTAGAGTAAGGTCCTGTCAATCGCCAGGGGTGCCAACTGTTAAGTATAAAAACGATAGCCCTCATTCAGTTTTAAATAACGAAACGTATTTGACCTGGAAGCCTTTCCCGCAAACATGGCAGACGGCGGTGACGACGGCGCGGTACTGCTGCCGCAACGCCGCGTGAGTCCGCCGCACGTGCGCCCAGTGCTCCTTGCGACTGTTTACTGAGCACCCACACTGAATAGAATAGAAAACTTTTTATTTGCAAGAAAGGCATACAAGCAGGCAAGACATAGATACAAACAGAGAGAAATATACAAGTGGAAAATTGACTGCTTGTGCCCCACACTGCGGGTAAAGAAAGCCTTTTAAATAGCTATCTATAAGCCTCCTGTGTGCTTAACATGATTTACTTTAGATGTGCTCACTAGCGACTGTGTAAAAAAATGACATTAAATGTGTGACAGATTGTATAGCGCCAATAGTGGCTATTTTCAAGAACTAAAATCTTCATAAAAAAATTTGACGCACGTGCTAGCGAGCACACCTAACGTAAACTTATGGTAATCACACTGCTCACTGGACTGGTAAGGATAAGAGCCGTGCTCCACTACTTTTCTCTCTAATGGAGAGGTAGCTTTAGCAAGAGGAATATGGTTGATTCAAGGCCATTTTCCACTAAATCGAAGCCTTGAAACTAACTATGTATTAGGATTTCAGCTCAGCGTCAGTGGAATGGTTAAGCCCAATTCCACTTAGGTTTGATGGATCTAACTGCTATACTACTCCTCTACACACATCCGCTTTAGTGGAAAACCGTCTTGCAAAGCACACAACAAAATACTGAGGCAGTTTGAGTCATATATTGTGTGGTTCAAAGTACGTAAATAAATTAGATAACTTACATGTTCACATTGAGTAGGATACGAGTCGCCGGGAAGCTTCCAAGTGGTCTTTTTCTTGGCTACCCGTCGGTGCTCTGTTCTGGAGTGCTCAACCAACTTCTTTTTAGTTGGAAAGGTAACGCCACACTGCTTGCAGGTCATCTTGAGCAATGGATCAATTGGTATAGTATTTCTGCAAGATAGCCAGCCAAAACTTGAGAAATGAAAACGCAACAGAGAGTACGAAGTATATACAGAATTTCATTTGTAGCTTTCGGCGAAATATTAGTCTTGTCCAGTGCAGAGGTGACATAGTTGCAAGGTAAATACAAATATTGATAAACATACCCTTGGGTGTTTTTCTGGTGGTGCTTGGAAGTAAGCAAATGTACACGTCGTGCTCCTTCTGAAGTAAAGCTAATGGCACAATCGTCACATCGGAATTCAGCAGATGTCGTTGCATCCTGGAGCGAAAGATAATGTTTTTAATAGGAACTGTCTATTTAAATTTTACCCCTGGGTCACACACATTACGATAATCTGAAGATTCGCGGTATCGCAAAGTATTTACGCATGATTTTTTGCAGTCGCAAGTAATTCGCTCCACTTTCGACCGAATATTATCGCGATTTGTATGGCAAGTAGGTACTAAGTGTAAGTTTGAATAAGTATCCTTTAATCATGTAAAAAAGTTCGCGCTTTTTCTCCTTCATTTTATAACTAGCTTTCCGCCCGCGGCTTCGCCCGCGTGGGTTTTGTCTGTCACAGAAAAACTTTATCGCGCGCGTCCCTGTTTCAAAAACCGGGATAAAAACTATCCTATGTTCTTTCCCGGGACTCAAACTATCTCTATGCCAAATTTCATCAAAATCGGTTGCGAGGTTTAAGCGGGAAAGCGTAACAGACAGACAGACAGAGTTACTTTCGCATTTATATTATTAGTTGGGATTTAACTCACCTTATCATCTCTATGCGCTGTAGAAGCATGCAGGGCCAGCCCCCTAGCACTAACGAAGGCGTGCCCACAGCGCGTGCAAACGTGCACGTGTTCGTGTTGCGTGCGCGTGTGTTGCGCGAGCGCGGACGAGTGCACGGTCTTGAACGTGCAACGCGCGCAACTGTACTCGTGGCCGGTGTGCCAGCGATGGTGCTTTTTTGCAACGCTCCTGTGATTAAAATAAACTGGATGCAATATTTATTATACCTACAGGCCAGTACAGGCTGTTCTCACATTGACACCGAAGATAGGCCTAAACTCGGCATGAGGCACACTGAAAACTAGCGCCGTGGCCATCGTCACCGTGGGCCACGGCATAATAAATGCTGAGTGGGGTCCCGTTGCAGTAGGCATCTTGTTGGTGAATGGGTGGCATTACTCAGTTTACTCTTGATTTTATTTTTTTCTTCTTCCATTATTATGTGCCACTGTCATGTCTATGAAATTGCCTGTATTTGTGTGATGTCCATTGTAATAAATGTATCTTTCTTTCTTTCTAAAACGCATCGAATAAGTCTACAAATTTCGTACTTTTCTATGCACATTATTAGGCTTGTTCATGTGTCCCAGCCCCAGCTACCTCTAGTGCTAGTATGACATGCTAATTTATGTTGAAAAGAAAAAATATATTGTAATTTTCTTACACATTGTTGAAGATTTTGAAGCACGATTTGCAGTGGAACTTCTTTCCGTGGGCGCGGTTTGCATGTGACTTCATGAGCACGTCATTTTTGAATCGATGTTTGCACACTGGACATTGTGATGCTCCGTTTTTCTAAAAGTTAAATGAAAAAATCATTTAATAAATTAAGATAAAGTACAAAATGACATTCCGATTTCTGATAGATATTAAATTTTAATACCAACTGGGTTATGGCAATAAACATGGTTTTCGTATGCTTTCGTGCTTGAGAAACTTTTTAAACAAACTTCACATTTGAAGACATTGGCACTGGTTGAAGATAGTTTAGCAACCATTTTGTTCCATTCTTCGATTTGTTCTTGTTCCTGTTCATAATGATAATATTATTAATTAATCAATTAGATATGAAACACTAATAAATTGAGGAGTGTCTTTTCAAAAGGGGATACCTACATTCTATCTTATTTTTCACAAAATGGGAAAAACTTATATGGGAAATATTTACAGACCTACCGAAAAGCATTATTTCTGTTATGAAACTATTTCATTACAGTGTTCTAACTACACTTTTTGCCAAAAAATATGACTTGTTAATTTAAAGTTACAGAGTTCAGAAAAATCATAATATCCTCTTTTGACACGGATCTTTTATAATATCCCCCTTTGTTCTGTACTTACTGTAAATATCCCCTTTAGTTGAGCCTACTATTTTGTAAATATCCTCTTTTGTATTGTACATCTCAAGATTTTAAATGATAATAAAACACAGATTATTCTTTTTTTTAATGGCACGTCATTTGTTGGAGCAAGTCGGCAACTTCGGGTCCTCTACGATATTGCGGTTTCGGACTACGCTGCGACCAATAAAATCGTCTGGCGCTTCATACCCCCTTCGGCTCCATTCATGGGCGGCGTCTGGGAACGATTAGTACGAAGTGTCAAGTCAGCGCTGAAGGTGACATTGCGGGAGCGGAATCCTCGAGAGGAAGTTTTGATGACCCTATTATCGGAGGTAGAAGCTATACTGAATTCGCGGCCTCTGACGCATATAGCTCCAGATCCAGACTACCCCGAAGCTTTGACTCCGAACCACTTCCTGATTGGCGGGTCGTCGGGCCAACCTTTTCCTGCGGATGGGCTTTGCGATACCGATTTGATGGGCAGGAGCTGTTGGCGGAAGGCGCTCCGTCTCGCGGACCATTTTTGGCGTCGTTGGATGTCGGAATATTTACCAACCCTGGCCCCACGACGTGTACCGGGAGTGGATGTTCAGATTAAGGTCGGGGACCCTGTTCTCATTGGTGACGGAGATCTACCAAGGGGAACCTGGCCTCGGGGTGTGGTCGAGGCCCTGTTTCCGGGTCGTGACGGCGTGGTCAGGGTGGTAGATGTTCGGACAGCGAGTGGAGTCCTGCGGCGCCCACTTAGGAAAATCGTTCTCCTCTAAAAAAGGGGAGGATGTCCACGAATGGACACTTTTTGATAAATATGTATACTTTTTTACGCTATGTTTTTTTATTGTCTATTAACTTTTCGATGTTCGCTTTTTTATTATTAACTAGCTGACCCGGCGAACTTCGTACCGCCTTAGCGTAGAGATTTTCTTAATATTTTTTTCCGTAAGAACCATCCTTGGACTTCCACAAACATTTAAAAAAAAGAATTATCGAAATCGGTTCAGCCGTTCACACGTGATGCCGTGACAACGCGAAACGGGTTTCATTTTTATATATATAGATGTCACTTGAGGAAGAATAGACGGAATACGTACTGAAACTGCATTTTATTGATACGACAAAATTAGAATAGTTAGTACGATTAACAGTTAGTAATGTAATACCTGTAATTAACGACTTACTTACATCAATATCTTATGGCCTTTACATAAGAGATTATTTGCTTATTTTTATAAGACTAAGTAAGTACGAATAACTTAGAGCAGAAGTCAAAATATACTTTCTTAAAATGTATTTCATGCCACTGAAGAATGTTGGAAGGAAGTGCTCAATTAAGGTCCTAGGAAATGTATTTAAGTGTACCTGTTATTACAAGTGCTTTATGATGGCTTGAATAACTGAAAATTAGATTGGCTGCCAGCCAATACGGAAACTTGATGCAAAACCAACGAGCAAAATCAATTATACGAACAGTAACTTTGTAAAAATGGAAGCCACAACAATTTTTTTTAAGCCGATCTGCGTAGGTGTTTTACACCCTAAACACCGTGTTTAGGTCTCAAAATCTAGATCAATCTGTGGACTGTGGAGAACTGGAGACATTTGTCCGGCCAAGCGCCAAGGACAAAATTGTAGAGACACCTACCACTGCTGGTAGCGTGGTCGCACAAGAAAAATTGAAAATTCTTTAAATTCTTTCGTTTTATTTTAGGCTTATAAAGAGAACTTTTCCGCAATATTTTTTGTCTACTCAACGAAGACAAAAAATACGCATTATGTTAACTCTACCATAGCTTCGGTACAATAATATAGGCCAGCCAATGCTGGGACGAAGCAGTACAAGAAGGTCAGTCACTATTGTCAACTTCTTTACAAAAATTACAAGATTATAACATGCTGAGTGTCTTGGATTGGACGAAAACACAAGACTGGTGTAAGTTAGGCTATCAGTTCCTGTAAAACTTGAAATCTGGAATTCAAAACTGCAAACAGTACCAAACAAGAAACATTTGTGTGAATTCACTTCCTTCGCACAACAAACCCTTGTTGAGGGAATGTGGGGTAGATATAAGTATTTCCGTGTTATCTCGGGTAGTAGATACGGAGCGGCTTGTGCCTGGCACGCTGCGTTTATCTGCGAAGGGAACACACCGTGCGATTTGTCGGACGACCTCCTTCATTATCTTGTAGGCTGTAACGATTCGAAGCAGTTTCAGCAATTCCAGGCAGTTTCGAACTTTGTTCATTGATTCAGATTCACGCCTTGATGTGGAGCTCTATCATTGCAACGATAAACGAACACTGCGATTTTTATCGGACGATCTCTTTCTTATCTTGTAGGCTGTAACGATTATTAACTGATGTGAACTTGATCGGAATCCACACATTGATATAAAGCTTCTATTTTCACAGCGATACAGGGTGCGATTTGTCAGGAGACCTTCTTCCTTATCTAGTAGGCTGTAACAATCCAGGTTTCGAACTTTTCTGATTGATGAACTGCATCAGATCAACACTTTGACGCGAAGCTTCTATTTTCACAGCGATCACAGGGTGCGATTTGTCAGGTGACCTTCTTCTTTATCTTGTAGGCTGTAACGATCCAGGTTTCGAACTTTGCTGATTGATGAACTGCATCAGATCAACATTTTGACGCGAAGCTTCTATTTTCACAGCGATCACAGGGTGCGATTTGTCAGGTGACCTTCTTCCTTATCTTGTAGGATGTAATGATCCTGGTTCGAACTTAGCTGATTGATTAGATCACCACTTTAACCCGAAGCTTCTATTTTCACAGCGATTACAGGGTGAGATTTGTCGGACAACGATCTTCCTTATCTTTTAGGCTGTAACGATCCAGGGTTCGAACTTCGCTGATGGATAAGCTAGATCGGAATCGACACCTGGAGGTGAACATTCTATTATCTTAGCAGCGAAAACAGTGTGATTTGTCGGAAGACCTTCTTTCTTATCTTGTAAGCTGTAACGATTATTGTTTCTTAACTGATGAGCTTAATCGGATTCCACACCTTGATGTGAAGCTCTTTCATTGCATCAAACAGTGTGATTTGTTGGACGACCTTTTTCCTTATCTTGTAGGCTGTAACGATCCTGGTTCGAACTTAGCTGATTGATGAACTGCATCAGAATCACCACTTTGATTGACGCGAAGCTTCTATTTTCACAGCGATTACAGGGTGCTATTTGTCAAATGACGTTCTTTGCTTATCTTGTAGGCTTTAACGATCCTGGTTTCGAACTTCGCTGATGGTTAAGCTAGATCGGAAAGCACACCTTGAGTTGAACATTCATTATCTTAGCAGCGAAAACACAGTGCGATTTGTCGAACGACCGTCTTCCTTATCTTGTAGGCTGTAACGATTTATTGCTTCAAACTTAACTGATGTGAGCTAACTCGGATTCAACACCTTGATGTGAAGCTCTATCATCGCATCAAACAGTGCGATTTGTTGGACGACCTTATTCTTTATCTCGAGAGCTGTAACAACTAATGATCTATTCAAACTTGACTGATCAAATGAGTTCAATGAGATGAGCTCAACTGGATCAAATCCACACCTTGAAGCTATTTATTTTTTATTTATTTATTTAAAGACTTTATTGCACACACATAAAAATGTTCCGTACAAAAAGGCGAGCTTAATGCCATAAGTCATTCTCTACCAGCTGACCTTGAGCAAAACAGAGATATTGAGTAGCTATCGTGAATACAGGGTGCGATTTGTCCAAGAATCTTACGGTGCGGTTAGTTATTGCTTACCCTTTGCAATGAGGATACTCGTAATGAGGAAAACCAAACTTGTATCCTTTAGGGACAGCCTTTGACGTCCTTCTCCGAGTGTAATCAGTTTCTACATTACCTAAGTAATAAGAAAATCCTTAAATCCTATGGCTTATGTGACTGCACCAGACAGTCTGCCAATAGAGAGAGATGGAGGGAGATCGTGCGGAGAGTTGTATCCGCCTCTACAACCGATGTGTACAACGCTTCAACGTGACCACGACCGTTCTGCCAAGAGCGTAACGAATAAGAAGAAGAAGAAGAAGAAAATCCAACAAATAGCGTGCGACAACCTTCCAACTCGCGCGCAAAGCCTATGAAGAGTAGAGACGAATCTGATGTAGTGGTTAAAACATCATAATTTTATTAATCGGATACCAATCGCGGGGTGTGTTGGACTTGCAAACAAATTAGGTAACCGGCGCCTACTCACCTATATTCATCGCTAAATAGGCCGTAGTGTTCGTGATAGCCGCCCGTTCATTTGCATCCAACTTTTGTCATGCGAAATGTAGTTTAAACACGTCGTTAGCACCAGTTAGAGTTAGCACTGTTAGCTCGTTTGGATTTTTATTGTAAAGATATTTAACAGATCATAAATTCACTCGCAGTTTTTGGTTTGTCAGGATTTTGTTCACAATTTTACTGGGCTATAATTTTTTGCGGGGCATCCTGATTCGTTACAAAAGTAAATATGTTTAGCCTAAGAGGCGGGTATCATAATTCATAAGACGAGCATTCTATCCACAACAAATCACTCATGACATGACAAACCACCACTCTGTGATGAGTTTATTGACTGAGAAGATATTACTTAGGTAGGTACTCCTCCCGTCTATGTCATTGGCGACATAAAATAGGGGTTTACATTTTATCCACACTCTCC